TTGGGAATAAAAAACATGGCAGTCCTATTTTAAAATTTTCAAACTGTTAATCCTATTTCGCGAACTTGAGATGGGTCTCGTCAAACACGGGGGCATACAATGATTATACTACGGGAGTATATTTGGACAATAGTATTGTGGTAAGCTAAATGTGACTAACAAGAAAACTTAGACACACAAATCAAATTTAAAGAAAACATTAGGTTTCGATGAACTTTAATCACTAACCGGATCCACCATCGAGCTAGGTGAAGCCTGGCCTAAACTGGTCAAAATTTTAAAAGAAACATACTATCATCCGTTTTTTTAATGGCAACATGTCGAATTTTATATTATGCACATGTTCTACGTTAACTACATTTTACGTTATTATTTTATGATAATTATTTTTTAAAAAAATTATTGTTCAATTCATCTCATTACAAATTTTCAAATTCCGACTTTCAAATTTTTTTACTAATAGAAATTAAGATATAATTATGGTCAAAGACGTGCGTTGTCAAGTGTTAAATGTTGACTGTTGCAACAAAAAAAGGACGGATGAAGTATATAATTTCTTTAACTTATGCATTATGGGTATTGTAGCACCATCATCACCACCTAATTATATTTCCACTAGTCAATACTGGACTACTGGTGGCGGAGCTGAGAAAAATGTTTGATCTTTTTACTCCTCATTTTAGTATATATGTGGAGGCTTATGCTTTGTTTGCCTCACTAGAAAATGATCATATACATGAACATGATGACTTTGAGAATTGCTCCAGGCTCTTGCATTGTTCCACCCCACGTGAAAGAGCTCTGAGCTTTCATATGATGTTTAATTTTTGGTTGTCTGTACATTAATACATACCATCGTATATCATATGCAAATAATCAAATGATCTAAATCCATGCAAAATATAAGGAGGCTATTACATTGTTTGATTGTTGAGTGTGTACTGCTTCATTTACATTTCACTATGCACGATAATTGAGATCTCTATTTCATGCCATTTACTCTAAAGTATTTAAAATTGTGAAATTACACCAAGCTAAGTGACATATGACATGAACTCTATACACGTCTTTCATGAACTATTATTCACTTTTATTTATGAAAGTTTTAACTACCCCGTGCATTTTTCATTTCGGAAAATTACACATATACTTCAAATGAGATAAATATTCCTACTTTTTCTTTTTTATAGGTTTTTAATGTACTGTTATTACTTTTTCACCTCTTTATCCAAAACTTTTCACGCATATTTGGCACATCAATGGGCACTTGCTTCTACGCATTTTATTATTACGATTTTTGAGATGCCTCTATGGCTAACTAATTAATACTAATTCATTTTTACAATTAAATTTATAGTTTGACTTCCACGATTTTCAAAATCGACATATATTTGATCGTTAGTATGTAAAAATATATACTCATAAGATCTATAACAAATTAATATCTCAATAATATATATTAAAATAATAATGTATTCAAAATTATTTTGATATTATAGATAAAAAACTATTTCTTCATCCGTCATAATTTAATTTACAAATGTTGTGACACAAGAATTAATGAAAGTTATAAATGAAGTTTGACTTTACTATTTTTCATATCTAAAATAAATATAAGGGTAAGTTTAATTGTCACTTTATTCATATTTCCATATCTAAAATAGAAAGTAAAAAATCATTAATTTTGAAACAATCACAATAAGAAAATTTTCAATTTAGATTTGAACGAAGTATAAATCTTGAATAATTAACAAACAAACTTCATTTATTTAACAATAAATCATCTAACTCTGAGACTTGGGTAGTGGAGAATGGGAAAACCCTAGCTGTTTCCCCTCTCTTTCTTCTCCTCAATTTTCTTTCTTTTATTTCCTAAAGATGAAAAAGATCTCCTCGTTAGTGGAACCGATCAGTGTTGAAATTTTGTTGGTGGTTGTGGGCAATGCTCGTCAATCCTCATACTTGATTTTTTGGGAGGTTGATTGTAGACATGGACGACTTTGGGTCTCAATTATTCGTCCTCATCTTAAAACACGACATGCTATGAGAGAGAAATAACACCGTGTTGGATCTTTTTTGCTTGAGAGGTGGATTAAACTGATGATATTGTCAATTTCTTCTCAAAAGTTGGTCAAACTTAGGATTCTAAAAGTTTCTTTCTGGTTGGATGGACAAACCAAAATTTACATTAGATGGTGAAATCGAGTTATATGTTTGTTTTCTATCGCGAAATAGTTTCATATGTCAATTCTATATAAACTTTTCAATATAATTCTATATATATCACATCTCATTGATTTTGTATTGATCGTTTTTGTGTACGGGGACACTTCGAAATTCACTATAGTTTACACATCATTAAACTTCCATTAAAACATTAAATATTTAATTCAATAATATCCGACACCAAGCGGAAATGGCGCAACTCAAAACATATTTCCCAAAAAAGTGCTTAAACATGCATTGTAGTTGGGAGTACATTCTATTAGACGTTGACTACCATAAATAAATTTCATAGCTCTACCATTCATCATAGCCTATCCGGTGTATGAGCTAGCTCTATCGAAGTTGTTGACCAGGCCAGGCTGTGTTGACCACATTTTATTAGGACATATACGAAGTATATGGTTTTCCGTGTTTTAGAAAATGCAATAAAAAATTGTAACAATTTCTGTATTGCCTGCCTTTAGCAGGACAGCGGCCAGGTTTCCATCCATGCATGCACATCCTTCACAAAATCACATGCAAATGCAATGCATTCGGTTGCATCTTGCTAGTTGAAGCCCTAGCTACCATTTTATTTAGACCTTCCATAGTTCCATTGGTTTAATTAAGGCTATATTTGGGAAAACGTACTAGATGGAATTAAATTAAAGGCTAGCTAGCCATCTGGTTTAATAATTTAGAGAGTGTTATCTGAAATTGGATAAAACTCGTTGAAAGTAAAATGTCACACGGATGAAGTAGACTTGTTTGACTACCTGCTAGAAATACAGACTAAAACACTTCAAGATTTTCATGAAATATATGTTTTGATAGAAACAAGATAGATAAATATTGAATAATAGGAGGATGAATGAAAATAAACTTACCACCATAAAATCATACTACCTTCATCCCAAAATGAAATTCTCGTTCTTTATTTACTTGATCAACTTAAATCACTCTTAATATTTTACTCTATATATTTACTGTCCAGCACGTTTTTGTCCGAACGCCGTCCGAACATGGCCATTTGGAGCCCTTCCCGGTGGAATTTTTTGATGAAATTTTTTGAGCATGTTCCTCATCAAGTCTAGTTTGTCCATACCAAATTTCAGCTCAAAACTCGACCGGGAAGGCATTCAAATCATTTTTTGAAGTTGACTACGTTTTTTATATGTATATTTTGACGCAGTCAACTTCAACAAATTATTTGAATGCCTTCCCGATCGAATTTTGAACTGAAATTTGGTATGGACAAACTAGAATTGATGAGGAACCTGCTCAAAAAATTTCATCAAAAAATTCCACTGGGAAGGGCCCCAAATGGGGATGTTCGGACGGTGTCCGGACCAGGAATGTTCGGACCTGAACATTCCTCTCTCTCTCTCTCTCTATATATATATATATATATATATATATATATATATATATATATATAGTAGTCTTCCGGTCAGGTATACCTGACCGGAGCCCCGTCCGGCCTCCTCCATTTGGGGGCCTTCCCGGTGTTATTTTTTGCTCAAATGTTTTGTGTAGGTTCCTCATCAAGTCTAGTTCATCCATATCAAATTTTAGCCAAAAATTCAATCGGGAAGGTCGTCAAATGATTTTTTCAAGTTAACTGGTCCGAAAAATACATATTCCGGACCAGTTAACTTGCAAAAATCATTTGACGACCTTCCCGATTGAATTTTTGGCTGAAATGTGGTATGGATGAACTAGACTTGATGAGGAACTTACACAAAAAAGTTTGAGCAAAATATACCACCGGGAAGGCCCCCAAATGGAGGAGGCCGGACGGGGGAGTGGTCCGGCCTGGCCGGACCTGAACATTCGTGTGTGTGTGTGTGTGTGTGTGTGTGTATATATATATATATATATATATATATATATATATATATCCCCATGAAAGTCGACTATATATGACTAGCTAATCATAGAAAAGTTACATTACTTTGTCACACAAAATTAATCTCATTTACTTCATTGTAATATACTCCGTAGATTATTATTATTCAAATGATAATTTATTAAATATTTTATAAGTATAAATTTGTAGATATTTAAAGTTAAACTTCCACACCCAAAGTTTTGAATTGAATAATGAATATCAAATTGTAAATTTAATTATGGGATAGGTATCTCAATGTGATCGAAGAGGAGAAAAAATCTGCTTAACGATTTAAAATTAATCATCAAAAAAAGATTTAAAATTAATAGTTAAAGATTATCTTAAGGGCCGGGAGAGCATACACCGTATAGTCGGTTGTACGGTGCTCACCGTACAACGGGTATTTAATGGTAAAGTTATGAAATGAGTATAACTTTTAAAATAAATGAATATTGATATTTAATCACTGTATTGTTAGCACAATTGAGTATTAAAAGCATGCAATTGAGTATCATGATATACACGTACGTATGTAGTAATATAGGTAGTACTTCGTATATACTACAAGTCTATTAATTCATTTAACTATATTATAATTGTATTATCACCAAAATATTTATTGTGCTAATTTTATAAATCAATGTTATTACTCAATTCTTTTAAATGTTATGTTCATTTCTTTTAACATAAATAACCGGTTGTGCGGTCAACACCGTACAACCTGGTGTACGATATAATTTGTTAGAGCCGGTCAATGGTGAGGTTAGTTTATCTCATACACGTATTGTCCTATCCTATAATTTGACACACAAGCCACAAGTAATTCAAGAGGAAGGTAATGGCAATATTGGAATAACAAAAAAACCGAATACATAAATAGCTCAAGCAGCTAGCTAGGTCTATTAGGGTATTTCACTATTTGTGGTCTTCAGACATTTTTGGCCACAAGAAAGAAGAAGGCCGGTGAAGATGGAAGATCTCCCACAACCACCGCAAGCCAACGCCTACACCACTTCTCCGTCGTCGTCATCACTCAACAATAACAGACGGCCGGAAACAGGTGAAGATGATAGTCGTAATAATAGTGAACCGGCGGTGGTTAGATCAAGGTGGAACCCTAAACCGGAGCAAATCCTTATCCTGGAATCCATCTTCAACAGCGGCATGGTCAACCCTCCCAGGGAAGAAACCATCAAGATTCGCAAACTCCTCGAGAAATTCGGCTCCGTCGGGGATGCCAACGTCTTCTATTGGTTCCAGAACCGCCGCTCCAGGTCACGCCGCCGCCAACGACAGCTCCTTGCTGAGCAAGGCCATGCAAGCGGCGGCGCGGCTGATTATACCGGAACCGGCGGTTGTGCCACCACCAGCGGCAACTACGTTTTGCAGTCACCGCCATCTTCAAGTACTAGTAAAATACCACTCCCTCTATTCCAATTTTTTTAGGCATAAGATGTTTCTTCACTACAATTTCAAACCTAGTGATCGATAGCAATAAAAATCTAATGAAAGTGATAATATTAATAATAATTCCATGGTTTCAAATTTCTTCCCTAATCTTCTCGGATCTAAAGCATAAAATTATTTTTTTCTTGACAATTTTCTAATTATGCCTCAAATAATTATTGATTAAATTAGGACAACGATATTTAGGGCCGATCTTTGCATGGCCCCAAAAAATTGATTTGGCCTCCAAAAAATATGTAAACCTCACATTGGCTATACCCATCTTAAATATACTTTATTCCTTCTTTAAAACTTTGAGATCTTTGAATATTATAGTTTTTTACTTGATCTTTGAATATTGTAGTTAATCATATATATTCAGCTTTCATCAATTATATTTTCATAAGAAATTATTTTTAAAATAAAAATGATATGAAAATGTTCTTTGTTAAAACTACTTTCATGAAAATATAAAATTTCTGATTTCTATAATATTATACTCCGTAGTATAGTAATTAAAATTGTGGTCCAATTTTGACAACCATTGACTGGAAAAGTCAAAGATGACGAAGTTTTAAGTGACAAAGGTGGGTAATTCATTAGCACAACGATATCGCCTCGAGCTTCTAAGCTGTTTCTAACTTTTGTTCTGCAGGTTTTTTCGAGCCAAATCGGCCAATGGGATCTTCTTCTTCTCCTTTCCATGGGGGCATAGATGACGAGATGTTGGGTTTTCCGTCGGGCGAAACGATGACGAGTATTCAATATGATCCGGCGGCCGGAATTGAGCAGAGCTATTCGGTCAGCCCATCCGTTATGTGTCCCTCTTTCTCTCCCCCACATGATGCTTCTCATATGCCCTACCAACCTGCTGGTATGTACGTTACATTTGTAAGCTGCTAGCTTATACGGAGTACGTAGTAATAATTAAGTATGTTTAATAAACTTTTCTTATATAGAGAGATGAAGTAATCGAAGAAGAAATTGAAGTATATAATTCGTACATCAAATGATATGATCATTGAAAAAATAAGATAAATTAAACTAATAGCTTTAATCTCAATATTATTAGGGTAGAATTACTAGTTGAATGTCAATGAGTTACCTTTTACCTTTGATAATTTTTAGTTTTTCACATGTTTTTATATTCCCTTAATAATTTTCTACTATTTCATTGCATGTTAAATTGATATGAAAATGGTCTAAACTATTCTCAAAATCTCAAATTAAAGTCAAAGTAATTTTTTTCTGACTACACCTTCAAAGAAAATTTGCTGGTAAATAGCAGACAAAGTAATACGCGAGCACAATCGATCCATGTCTTCTCGTGAAGTAAGCATAAACGGAAGATGGAGGTTCTCCAAATATTCAAAGCTCAAGTAATTGATTCATGATTATATTTTTAAAATGTTTTCTTCAAAAATGTAATCAAAATAAAACTAAAGTTATTATGAGTGTATCTTATCGTCACTTAAGTTTAAAATTTTAACATAGTTACTATGATCAGAGTTAGAATTTTTTAATTGGACTGCTTTCAGCCCGAGATTATATTAGAGCAGATAAGATTAAACTTTGCCATTTGAAAAGTACACAAAAAAAATACATTTATCAGACTAGACTACACTTAAATAGAACTGACCAAATTTCAATCCATTTTTTTGACATAATTTCAGTCCAATTAAAAACAACCTTACTTCTTTATTTTAATCATAAATTTATATTTTTTGTAAGAAACATGGTTGATAGTCCCATATTAATTATAAATTTTATGCTTGGATTAATTATGTTATTAGTCCTTGCAAACATAGCACACTTTATTTTAGCTCATTGTAAATTAATTTGCTAGTTTTCATTCCTGAGATAATTACACATTTACATGTGTTTTTCTTTTAGTCCATCTCTAACAACGAGACCACTCCAATTAGGAAAAAATATATTGTATGTCGCTTGCATAAATATACAAGTACTACGGAGTCGAAAGTAGAAACATATAAATACCTATATAAACATGAAATGCATAATTTGAGATGTTATTGTTTAAAATTTAATATAGGAAAAACATAAAAACATAAACATGAAACTTTTGAAATTTCTACAATATCATTTTAACCGTTTTTGCAAATGAAATTGTTTAATTGCATGTTGAAAAGGAGCCTATTTTTACAATTTTACCTAGTAAATTGATGATATTCAAAAGTAAATTAAATTAACTTTCGACTTGCTTGTGAAGCTGGATTAGTAACGGTGTTCATTAATGGAGTGGCAACGGAGGTTCCAAGAGGGCCAATAAACATGAGAGCTATGTTCGGTGAAGATGAGTTTGTGCTCTATCACTCTTCTGGAATTCCTTTACCAATTAACGAATTTGGGATTTTGCTTCAGAGTTTAAGGCATGGTGAAACCTACTTCCTGGTAATTGCTTCTCTCCTCAAGCTTTAATTGGACAGATTTCAATCTAGACAAGTTCAAACTTAAAGACTAAACTGCACCAAATCAGATTAGATGAAATAAGAAAATTTGAGTTCAATTAAAAACATCATTATTACATAAAGTACATTTTTAATTAGTAATGAAAATTAGATGTACATAGTATACTTCACCCGGGTCAATCAAACCTGCCTAGTCAACAACAGGTGAAATTGGTCAACACTAATATTTTTTCAAAATAAAATAGTGTATATTTTATACAACTAGTTAAAAAATATTTTTTAGAGGTTCAATTCTTAAAGTTTTTTTTAAGAATTCATACAACTTTTAGAAACTGAAAACGTTTTTATAAAGATTTTACGTATATATGATCAAAAAAAAGATTTTACGTATATATTTGAAAAGCTCAAAGTGAAAGCATCTTTTAAAGGTCTCTCAAAGCTCTGGTATGTTTGATATATCAATTTAGTTGATTATTTATATATAAAAAGTTGAGATTTTTTAGAAGCTACTCCCTCCGTCCCAACCTAATTAAGGTTTTCATGCACCTTCCTTTTTTGAACATTCCAATTAAGGTTTTTGAACATTTCCATTTCTAATTTGGGAAATAATTGGCACTCTTAGATAGTACAGAGTACTACATAATTTAATCATCAAATATGAAAACAAATGCATCTATAACACCACATTTATCATTAATGGCCTCATTTTATTGTATACCCATCAAAAATATTTCTCAAAATATACTTGAAATACCTTATTAAAATATTTTTTTAAATATTTATTTTACCATTTTGTCATGGGAACCTTATACCCGGACGGAGGTAGTACTATAGCACTATGAGTTAGGGCTGGACTCGGTTCGGGCCGGGCCCGGTTCGGGCCTTGAACCGGCCGGGCCTCGGTTCACCAAAAGGAGGGCCCGGGCCCGAACCGGCAGGTGACCGGTTCCGGGCCAGACCGGGCCGGTTCACCCGCCCCATTTTTTTTTTTTTTTGATTTTTTGGCTTCTCTTATTTAACCCCCTACCCCTCCCCCTCAACCCCAAACCACCCCAAACCACCTCAAATGACCCAAAATACCTAATCCAACCCAAAAATTAAAAAAATTTCAAAAAAAAATTAAAAAAAAAATTATTCCGGCCCGGACCGGGCCCGAACCGGCCAGGCCGGTTCACCAAATAGAGGGCCCGGGCCCGGAACCGGTATCCACCGGGCCGGTTCGACCCGAACCGCCGGTGGACCGGGCCACCGGGCCGGGCCGGTTCACACAGTAACCGGGCCGGGCCGGTTCCGGTTCGGGCCGCCCGGCCCGAGTCCAGCACGACTATATATGAGTCATAGCATTGATTAGTTAAAGCAATATTTCAACCAAACACATATACATCAATCATATATGCAACTTTTACCTTAAAACATTTTTCCTTTTAAAAACTCATGAGATACTAGCCTAATTACATTTATTGAAAAGCTCAAAATATAATATATTTCACGTAGTTAATTGTGTCAAACATATATTGTAGCTGTTTGATCTAGTCATGATTAATTAAATAAGCATTTGTGATAATTAATGCTAAAAATGATAGAATTCATCATGAGAAGCTACACAAAATAGTTTTTTGAATAAGATCATAAATTTAAAAATATCCTCAAAAGTGTTATATAACATACAACTAATTAAGAGCTTTTCAAAACTTTTTTATATTATAAAAAAGTCAGAATTCAACAACTTGTCATTTATAATAATAAACCAATACTAATAATTTGTAAGCATCAAAAGCACAATACGCGCAATAATGTGTGTGTGGAGTGTGTGGGTGTGTAAAAGTCAAGTGAACGCTTACTTAGTTCTATATACTTTTAGGAGAGAATTACTATTTAGTTTCATAATTTTATATTGCGTCCACTTTTAATCTCGTAAGTTTACTCATTCACAGACCAGATAACTTATGCATTTGTTCATATTAACGACATATATCTACTGAAAAAACATATATTCCGGTGGAGGTGTTCTTAATATGGATAAATTTATTAGATGTATGTAGAATTAACATGTAAGAATATAAATTTATTTAAATGTACATTAAAATTAACATTTACATTAATTATAGGAATAAATTTAGAACTTTTTCTGCTTTTAGTAAGTACATACGTAGTAAGACATATATATACACTTAATTTAAACCAAATGACCTTAAGTTGACATGATCTGGCACATATATAACATCATGATTGAGATTTTTAATAAAGTCAAGCAAGTCATGAGGAATTCTTTTCATTTTCTCTTGTTTCGTTTCCTTCTCCTTTTGTTCTTCTCCCTTTTTTCCACTGTATCTTCACCCTGCACCACCTACTTAGCTTCTTGTATTCCATCTCCACCAATCATTTTATTTTTTCCTTTCTTCTTCCATCAATATTGCGTTTGAATTATGCTGAAAATAGCTAGGAAGCAACTGAGTTCTCTTTTCTTCCTTCTCTTGACTTATGTTCACAACCTTCGAATTGTCTTGGTAATAAGAGGGTTTGGAAATGGATATTCTAAAGGGAAGTAATAGGGAAGACAAAATATAAGATTACTAGTTTGCTAACTAGTAAAACTACTAAGGGAAATAATGGGGAAGAGTGGAAGCCTATGATTATTACTAATCATAGTCGACATTGTCAATAAGGGTTGTCACATGCCCATATTTAACACTGATAATTATTATGATGACATCTGAAATATAACTATGATCCTGTGATATTATAAAATAGGGAACTTTGTAATTTTGCTCACGTAAATTTTGATTGTACCTGTGATTAGTCCTACAATTTTATTTACTTGCAAATTTGATTTCTTAACTAATAATTTTCTGACAAAAAACATACCAGAAAAGACGCAATTGTATCTAAAATTCTAAAGGAGTGTTTGTGTTTGCTTAAAAAAAAGTGTTTTTCAGCTTTTGGCTTAAAAAAAGTTGAAAAGAGTGTTTTCAAATGACAGCTTCTGCTTAAATTAATCACTTAAAAGCTAAAAGCTGAAAGCAGGTAGAAGGGTGCTTTAAATTGCTTCTCACTTTTTCTATTACACAAAAAGTACTTATTTTACTAAACACTACCAACTTTTACTTTTTGAGAATCACTTTTTTCTCAAACATTACCAACTTTTACTTTTAATCACTTTTCCCAAAATCACTTTAAAAAATCACTTTTTTAAAGTTGAAACAATTGCAAACACTCCCTCCCTAAGTCTGGAAAGTGCACTCCGATCCATCGGTGGAAAAATTTTTAAATGTCAAAAGTTTACAAATTAAAAGATCAGAATTGCACATGAAGAAAGTTATATAATTAATAACGGGCTCAAGTGAAAGTTAACATTGCAAATCCCCTTCTAGGATATTCCAAAATAGGATCAATAGTTGAAATAAAAGCACCACAGAGGTATTCAAATACATGGAATATACTTCATATGTAGCAGCAATTTCCATATTTTTTTCTCTTAAATGTCGAGTAGTTTTCTTTTACTAGAATTTTTTTGGGTGATTTTTCACTTTTATTATGTTGTTTAGTTTCTACTTTACACACATTGAGTACTCATCATGGTCTATTTCAAAAGATATATATAGAGGCTAGATATGCGGTGCTTTAAATATGAGTAGAAGATATTGAATTTAATAACCAAGTATTCTAGCCGAGCTGGTTGTGAGGTTTCTGTGCCTAATGGGAGGTCTCAAGTTCGAAACCCGCTAACATAAGGGTTTGAAACTCAATAAAATGAGTTTTAGCCTTGATTACTCTAGGCTCCCCCAGACCCCCTGGAGTAAAAAAAGTCTAACAATTCTATCTTTGATGTTATATTCCTCCTTGCATCAATATTGTGCATGTCACAACAATATTTTCTTAATTGCCTATTTCAAACATGCTTAGTGCTATTATTTGATCACCTTACGTCGTAGGGTAATATTGTTGAAACAGGTTTCAAGAACATCCTAGAGTGATATGCACCCGTTGAAGACTGATTTTGAAATTCAGTGTATTAGAAATATATTTGTAACGATATTTTGTTATTTACTCAACACTAGATTCACATTATACGAATTTGGTCGTATTATCTCATTCACTTTTCTTCAAAAGTTCATTTTTTTGCTTGCTTTGTGAGTGACATACTCAACTATAGACCTATGGAAGAGGAAAGTGGTTCAGTTCAACTGGTTGCCGACTCACTCTCTCTTGTGGGAGGTTCCGGGTTCAATAGTCCTTGGAGGGAGTTTGATCCCACACGCCCCCTCCCCAAACCCCCCAGGGGTAAAAAAAAAAAGACTTATGGAATTGAAGCTTAAAGCATCAAGCGGGAAATCGGACCAAGTGTTTTTTTATCCGTGTTGAAATTATTATACAATAATTATTAGGCATTAATGTGACGGTATTTTTCAGGATGTCAATATAATACTTGCTCGATTATGAGGAAACATAATATTTTAATTTGGAAATCGCCTTATTTTTACCCCTATTTTGGGTAAAAAAAATCACTTATTACACTCTGTAGTATACATGATGAATTGAAGAAAATGTTCGTTTAAATTATGAAAGGAAAATATATCCAAATAATTAAATCTAAATTTACATAAGAAAATAAAATCATGTTTGTTGGACAAATCTTTTGAACTGCACGACTCAAATGAAGAGCTGTTATTTTTCAACACTAGTGTAATACCCGTGCGATGCACGGTGTGAGATTTTTTCAAAGTAATTAGCGGTAATTTTCATAATAAAAATGTAATACACTGACAAAAGTAAATTTTAAGCCCCTGTAAAAAATTGGAGTATATATACTTTGATTAATAAAAGGAATACTACCTCTACTCCAATTTACTTAGCCATATTTGACTTTTCAAGTCAAAAATTGTAAATTTTGACCAACTATTTTAAATAATATATTTATGCAAACTTTAATATTTTTTTGCTTTTATGATAGTTTTTGTATTTTAAAGAAAAATTTTATACCGTTTTTCATATTATCAATACTTTTTTCATATAATCGATCAAAGTTAGATGTCTAATTTAAAAAGTCAATTTTAGTTAACTATTAGGACGGAGGGAGTACTATTGAGCCTCTCTGAGTCGCTGCTCTCAGCCCCAAATGTCACCCTTGTTTTTCTATTTTACTACTTTTGAGCTTGTGGAAGTAAATAGCTGAATTCATGTCATCAACCACACAAAATCAATCCAATTCATTTCCGTGCAAATCACTATAGGAAAATCTCATTTACTGATATTCGTGTTTCAACTCAAACTCGTGATTAAAGAAGCATCGGTGAAATGGTAAGAATTAAATCTTTCTCAAAGATCTACGTAGTAATAGATACCCGATAGGTAATTTTCATGTCATTTTGGCTAGATTTATATGTTAGCATTGAAATTGCTTGGCATGCGCCCATTTGACTTTGTTTCAATTGTCCAAAAGGTTGAATCGCCAACCCCAAGCGCCCCCCACGTCCCGATCCGACAGAGCACATGAGAGGATGTAAGTCACGGTGACTCAGTCAGCAAAGTGGGTAGTAGGCCATACGCCCGTGCGCACCAGAGGTCCAGCCTTATTTCAAGTTCTGTGACCTCCACCCGGTCGTTGCGGGGATTCGAACATTGGTCATTGTCCAAATTTCCCACCACTTTGCCAACTGAGCTACCCGTGCGGGTAAAATCTGACTTTGTTTCAAGATAGATATACGAAGTATGTTTTTTATGGACTCCATCCATCATAAAGATAGGCACAATTGGATAAAGTAGCTCCTAATATGACATTCTTTATTTTCAATTTTTACAAAATATTTTTAATCTTTATAATATGCACTATTTTTACTTTTAGTCCCTTGTCTCAAACTCTAAAATCTTTCAAATTGGCAAAAATGTACTCGCTTTGTCCCTTTTATATTGTCCCGTTTTATCTTTTCGGTAAATCCCACTAAAATTGTCGCATACCATATTTGATAAAGTTTGTGTGGTTCTAAATCTCTCTTACTTTATTTTTACTTTATCAATTAATATCAACCACACAAATTCACTTTTATCAATAATCGTGTCATCCTCTTTTCTTAATAATCTTAGCTGATACGGGAGTTAAAATAATGTAAAATTAACTTTTCGCATTTTTTATGCAAAATTATGGTTTAGAACTTAAAACATATTTACATATTTGAACCTTTCAGTTTTTTCACGTTTTAAGATTATCATTTGGGCTAGTGTATTAAGTGCAGTAAATGTCAAATTGTTATTCAGATTATATGGCTTATCAAATTAGTTTCCACAGCGAGATGATACTACCCAACAATTTGTTTTCTACGGTACTTCTTTTTAACTACTGTATGTAAAGATGCAATTTTTGGCATCTTGAAATATGGAATTTTCTTCCAACCGCCCGTTTTTTGCCCACGCTTTACTTTGTTATCCGATAAGGATTACGTATCTTTGGCATCATGTTGAGGCTCTTGGCGGGAACACTGTACACACAATTCTTTTGCTTTTATATAAGTATAGATATTAAATAGAATGAAAAAGAAAAAAATAACAACTGAGCATTAGTTTCTTATTTGCTTTATAGAGCAATAAAGTGTTACTCCAGTATCTTTGAACTAATGTCATATACGGAGTAGCTAATATACGTTAGATATTGTCTTTGGTGTAATAATATCACGAGCGAGCATTATGGAAAAAGTATGTATGCACCAATAGTACTACACTGTTGCTTTCACTCCTCAATAGTACAGTCATCCTCAATAGTACAGTCATAATTAGTTTTTCATTGATATACTTCTGTAGTTCTCTGTTTGCATGGATGAAAATAGGAGATTGATCGGGCCATACTTATAAGTATACGCGTGTCATTGTAAAAAATTTGCTATAGGTACCCCATACTTACCTCATTTCCTACCCCATATAAATACCCTCCCAAAAATTTACCCCCACTCCCTCATCTTCCTTCCCCCTTATCTCCCTTTCATCTCCCTCTTTTCCAGCCAGCCCCTCTCCCTTTCATTTCCCTCAATTAAGCCCCCCTGCTTGGTTCCGGCGAACACCCAAGTAGCTCCGGTGGGAAGTCGGAAAACCCAGCCGGACACCACCCAAGCAGCTCCGGTGGGAAGCCGGTCATCTTCTCCGGCGACACCTGACCGTTGTCCCAGTAATTTCAGTGCCGGCCAGATTTAAAAACCTTCCACACCTTCTCCAACAACCTATAATTTCAGTTCAAAACCTTCAAATTCCAGCGACCATAACTTCGAAACATACCCGTGATGGTTCAGATTTGTTAGCTTTGGTTCAGATCTGTTAGCTTCAAATTCTAGTGAAAAGAGTTGTCTGGCATTCCATTTGATTTGTCTGTAATGTGAAAATAGTTGTCTGTCTGGTGAAATTATGAAGTACTTGTGTATATTTAGACTACTCTGTGATGATATTGAGATGTCTGTCATGGTATTTTGAATATTATGTAATTGGTTTGGAGTTGTCTTTCAATTTATTTTGAATGGTTTAAAATTGGTTTATAGTTGTCTGTCATGTGAAAGTAGTTGTCTGGCAAGGCATATTAGTTGTCTGGTACGTTAAATCCAATTATTTAAAATTGGTTTGTAGTTGCCTGTCATGTGAAAGTAGTTGTCTGGCAAGGCATATTAGTTGTCTGGTACGTTAAATCCAATTGTTTAAAATTGGTTTGTAGTTGTCTGTCATGTGAAAGTAGTTGTCTGGCAAGGCATATTAGTTGTCTGGTACGTTAAATCCAATTGTTTAAAATTGGTTCGTAGTTGTCTGTCATGTGAAAGTAATTGTCTGGCAAGACATTTGAATTGTCTGTCAGTTTATTTTAAATGGTAGAAAATAGTTTTGTAGTTGTCTGTCAGGTAAAATTAGTTCTCAGGCAACCCATTTGAATTGTCTTGCATGTTGTTTGGAATTCATTAAAATTGGGTTGTAGTTTTCTGTCATGGGAATTGACTTCTCTACCAATGTATTGCAACAAATTGTCTATAATGAGATATAAAATGTCTGGCCTTTCTACTGAGTTGTCTGTCTACAAGTCGGGAGAATGTGGCCCAGATTACTAATGTCTGGCCAAGACAAAATTTGTTTGGCTATACGACAAAGAGTACTTAATTGGCCCAGACTACCAATGTCTGGCCAAGATAAAATTTGTCTGGCTGTAGGACAGAGAGTAGTTAATTGTCCCAGACTACTAATGTCTGGCCAAGACAAAATTTGTCTGGCTGTACGACAGAGAGTAGTCCTTATTGTAACAGGAAAACCTACTCTTCTCCTTGTAAAGACTACATATGTAATTCATTCACCACATTTGTCTTCACATTATCGATACAACCATGTTTAAAAAAAAGGCACACACATTTATATAAAAACTACATTACCAATACAACCATGTTTCCAAACAAAATCACATACATTTAAAGTTGTCTGACCACACACACATTTTATGTACGACTCTAACAACTATAAAACCACGTTCACTTGAAGCAACTATGAAACCACGTTCACTTTATGCTAGACAGACACTGCAGTTCCAAATTGTCTGTCCGCCAAACAAATTACAAACACATGACGAAAAACAACATACTCTTCTCCTAGACTAACAAATACAGACACTGCACTTACAAGTTGTCTGTCAGGAAAGACAATCCTTTTTTTCGAAAACACACCAAAAACTGAAAAAATCAAGAAAAGTAGATCTGCTCAAGTCATTCGAAGCTTCTTGATCTGCACTTTCGCCGTTGTCTCCCCACGTCACCGAGCTCTCCCCTTCGTCCGATTACTGTAGCTCTTCCATTTGAAATGGAAAAAAAAAGGCAGAAGAGGAGAAAAGCAGGAGAAGAAGCTTGGAGGGAGAAAAGATTGTAAAAATCTATGTTTAAAAAACCGACCCGACCCGGCCGGGTTGACCCGGAACCCGGTGACCCGGACAAAAAACCGGTTCGGTTTTTTCAAAACCCGGAAATGGTCAAAAACCGGAAAAACTCGGCTGACCCGGGAAAACCCGGTCAAGACCCGGACCTAAGAAACCCGAAAAACCCGTTAAAACCCAGTTTTTGGATGTTTTTACCAAAAAAAGTAATTTCTTTTTTATTTTTAATGCATTTTTTATACCAATAAAATTGCAATTTCAATACCTTAAAAAGAAAAACTACGTAATATATTTATATATTTATTTAAGAATGAACATCATGCCAAATTATAATATAGATGTACAATAAAAATAAATATATCATTATATATTGTTATAAGATCAAAATATACATTGAAATATTTAAGTAGTATTGTTAGTTGATTATTATGAATAATAACTAATTTTTATTATAATTTTATATATAATT